AGTAAACAATACTTTGTTAAATCGGCTCCAAGGCTTCCTACCCACCACAGCTTTGATGTACACAAAGCTCTGATGTAGCTACTAACTGCAGGAGAGTTTATTTTTCTAACAGTGAAAAAGATGTAAAACAGTTCTTTTCTGACCCTGACAGTAACTCGGGCAATGAGCAAATACAAGCAAGCCACCGTCTAATGCTAGAATAGGTACTCATGCATGTATTCTATTTAATCCTTACACTATCCACATTTCAGCTTTCACCCCATAAAACCTTCCCAATCATTTTAATCACCTTCATTTCCCTTATCCTGCCCCAAGGATCTTTATCCTCTGTCAATATTCCTCTCACTTGCACCTCAAAATTTAACTGTTTCTGACAGACATCACCCCAAAACACTCTCCATGTTAATTTCTCAGACCCCCCTCCCTTCTCCACTCCCCACACATCCACGTTCATAGACGCCTTTCATCAAGCACAACCCCTCTCGGCTGAGCTCCCCTCACACAGACCACAAGCTTTGAGGTGCCCCTCTCAGGAAACCCTCCCTCTACCCTAACAAAGCCCAGCCCTGCCGCACACCTCACGCGGCCCTGCTCTCTGCCCATACACCATCCCTCACCTCACACCCCTGCACACAACCCACTCGGACACCCTCCTCTGCCATCACCTTCCCCACACCGCAGGCCCCTCATCCAAGCACCCCGGGCCCGTCCCCCCTCACATCCACCCCTCAGCCCAGCGACCCCCACCTCGGTTCTCCCCACGGCCACCCCCCAGATAAAGGCTTCACTCCCCTCCTCTGTGTGCCTCCCCTCCCCAGACATCCCTCACCACACAGGCCCCCCACAGCAGCCACCCCACCCCGAGTGCCCCATCCCACAAGCCGCTTCCCCCTCCAGCCCGCTCCCCCACACGGCTGGCCCGGCCGCACCGACCTCCTAACGCTGCCATTCTCGGGGCCCCGCTCAGGCAGCGGCAGAGAGGGGCGGCCCGAGAGGAAATGTCACCCACTCCGATTCCTCTCCGCGGCCCGCTTACTCCCGCGGAAGCCAACCCCGCTCCTCGCACCGGCCAACCTGAGACGCGCTGATTGGCCACAACCCCCACAGCCTGACGGGAAATGTAGTGCGTGGCTCCATCCGGGCGGTGCACCGCCCCCGGCCGCGCGGGGCATGCCGGGAGTTGTAGTTCTCCGCGGGGCGGTCTGATTGGGTGTTGTAGCTTAAAGGAGGAGGCGGAGGGGGACGTGGGGACGGGTTCTGCCCGTCGCGTAGCAACGCGCCCCAGGGCGGAGCAGCCATTTTGGGGCCTTCAGGCAGGGGGGAGCGGGCATCCTTCAGCACCTTGCTGTGAGTCTGCCGCTCTTTACGGGCACGCAGCAGAAATGGCCTCTCCACGCAAATAAACCCATCCCGGTTCCTGCTTTATCAGCCCTTGTGCTGCCTCTCCTGCGCTCACGGACTTGCAGACCCTCCCAAAGTGGAGCAGAGGCATTACCCAGAAGCTGTGGGCCCAGCAGGCCGGGCAGAGCAGCCACCATGGGCACTGCTGGAAAACGGGCAGAAACGGGGTAGATGAAAATGCCTGCCATCATCCTAATAATGCAAGGATGTGGTTGGGGCAGGGCAGCCTCTGGATGCAAGACCCAGAGCTGTGCAAGGCGGAATTGACCTTTAATGAAGAGCATAATGGACTGCTTAGTCTGAAAGCTCATCACGCCAGGAGTCTTTATTTTACCATTGTTCACAGCACCCAGCGCAGTGTGGCTGGTGCTGAACCAGCCCTACACACAGAGCAGCTGAACAACTCCAGCAAACAAGCAACCATTTTGTTGGCAGTGACCTTTAATACCACAAAAGCACATTTCTCTCCATCCCAGAGATCAAGGGGCTGATATTCACCAGCTTTTCCAGTTCTCTCCAGCCACTGGCCACTGGTTTCGTTCTTGGTAACTGAGTCATTCTCAGAAGTTTGCTGCAGGAGTGGGGTTTTTCCTCCTTTGTGAAATGCAGTTAATGAAGAATTAACCATAATGGAAGCATGACAAAGTCCAGTATGTTTCTCTGGATTTGATGAAAATAGATTTAATACAACTTTGCAGGTTCTAGCTGGGAAGTTCTGTTAAAAACTGCAAGCCAAGCCAATTTAAATTATATTTGTAAAATACATTTCCCTTTAATTCTCAGAAACAGTAACATGGGTCCATCACCAGTGCTCTAAAGTGGATGAATTTAAAGGCAAGAACACTACCACTCGGTGTCGTCTGCCTGCTGTTGACGTGGCTTTGCTTTCACTTGCAAGGCACGGCTTTTTCCCAGTTTAGCAATTATCAGTGGCGTCCAGGCTGTTGTCGATACTAACGCCACATAGCACAGGGATGATAGAGATGCTGAAGAAGGAGGTGTAAAAGAAAATAGAACTTTGCGTCTGCAAATCAATCCTGCAGTTTTTCCAATTTCCCCATTCAGCAATGGCACGGCCTGTGAAATTGTCCCTTGGAATGTAAAACGGAGGGAAGAAGAATACCTCTATTCTTACCTTGCAGCAAATTATACTGCCTGATACAGCTCATTTCCTTTGCTGGGGACACTTGGGCCGGACTGGATTAGCATTCAAAATGCAAAAGCAAAACATAGAATGTTTTTTAATACAGATACCACATTGAACCATACTTTGGCGTGAAAGCTTTTCTTGAAATAGCTTATCTTTGTATGGCCTTTGGTGAAGCACATAAATTGCGATACAAACAGGTTTAAATATTCTTCAGGAGGCATTGGTATCAACTATTTATCTTAGTTCGAAGTCTTCTCAAGTGTAATATGCCACCACGCCTCTCCTCTGTGGAAGCCTTCACTATTAGTCCTTAGTACTTAGAAGACTTAGCACAATCGAGCACACCCACAGAAATCCAAGGACCTGCTTTTTCACCTATCTCTGCATATTATTTACTGGATCACTGAGGTGCAAAATGAGAAGCATGTGCCTGTGCAAGTTGCTCTGAAATCCATGTCAGTCACCTAACATGCTGAAGCTAGGTATTAGAAATGGCATTTGCATTACACACAAATTTTGGAACCTTTCTCTCAGAAATTACAAGATGCTTAATGAGTTCCAGCTCCCTTTGCATCTGCTGCATCCTTTTCTTTCTCTCTTCCGTCATTGTTTTGCCTGCAAAGCGATGCAGGCCCTCTATTCAAGCACAGAACTACAAGTCAGAATATTGGGTTCTCAGCTTGGTGCTGACACTAATTTACTTGCATGCTGTTGATGAAATTATTTGATTTCATGGATTTTGGCTTCCCAGGAGACACAGGGGAGCTATGGATAGACATATTGATGTCAATTCCTTTATCAATATTCTAATTAGTTTGGGTAGGGTGGTTTTGTTGGTTTGTATTTTGGTTGGTTTACGTTTTCTGTTGGTCAGCAATGCACTGAAACTAGTGATACCATTTTGACATGTTGCAAGAATCCAAAAGGTGCTGGTTATTGAGGGACTGGGATGCTTTCACCTATGCTTTAGCTTCACACCTAATTTATCATTCCTTCAGATACAGCTTGAAAACATACATCTGAAAACACTTGGTGGGGAAAGTGCCATGGGCAGGGACAGCTTCCACTAGAGCAGGTTGCTCCAAGCCCTGTCCAGCCTGGCCTTGAGCACTGCCAGGAATGGGGCAACCACAGCTTCTCTGGGCATCCTGTGCTAGTGCCTCAGCACCCTCACAGGGAAGAACTTTTGCCTAAGAGCTCATCCCAGTCTCCTCTCTGGCAGATTAAAGCCATTCCCCCATGTCCTGTCACTACAAGCCGTGTCAAAATCTCCTATCTGGCTTGCTTGTCAGCCCCTTTAGCCAGTGGGAGCTGCTCTAAGGTCTCTGGAGCCTTCTCCAGCTGAACAAGCCCAACTCTCTCAGCCTGTTGAGATGCTTTCCTTCATTACACCTACAGAACAAGTTAATTAGAGAGCTGTGGTTCATCTGCCTTCAACACAGAGACCAAGAAAGCCTCCTATCTTTGGCAAATTATTGGTTTGGGTCATCTGGTAGGGAACTGCCCAAGCCACCCCCTGTGCTCCTGCTGCGCAAGAGATAATGCACAGAGCATTTGAATAATGCCAGCTCTTGCTACTCAGTATTAGGTAAGACTTTTCATACTGCCTCCTGCCAGCAAAATTAAGATAATAAATGCAATTGGACTAAAATGTAAAGAAATATAGAATTAGGGGGTTGTTCAACCAGCTTTTTAGTCTTTTACAGCAACATTGAAAGGTCTCTTTTAATCAGTTGCTCAAGGTAAGAAGACAAGCATTAATTTCCAGCAGAACTGTTTAATTATAAAATTCAAATCAAATACTAGTAAATAATATTCCTTGCTGTCTCCCAGATGTCTCAATAACTAATATTTACAACTCTTCAGTTATTTGTACATGTTAATTTGTGCTGTGAGTCTGTAAGAAGCAATAGAGGTGACAACTGCACTCTGAAACCCCATCATACTTTAATAGGAAAAATCTTGATATTCACTATGGCACAATCTAACCTTGAAAACAATCTTTTACCAGTTTGGCTTTAATGCATAAAACACTGCTCATTTTCTGCAATCCTGTCACCAAGGGGCACATTAATTTAGTTGCACAATAATTTAATACATTGATGTATCGATTGAAGTGGAGAGGTTTTTGTTTAGCGGTTCCCAGAAATAATGCATTTCTTGCAGGATCCTTAAAAGGACAGCTCTTGCTGCAGTTTAAGTAGGGGGAATTGCAGATCATTAGCTAAGGTTGCCCTTCAAATCTGATAGATCCCTCCATACTGAGCACAGTGGGCCTTACATCAAGAGAGAAGGAAAGCCGGCAGGGGGCAATTAATGGGGCAGATATCAGAGTGCCTTTTCTGATTACCACATACAGTACAGTGGATTTGACTTTGCCGAGACAGGCTGGTAGAAACAAGAACCCTGATGAGATATGGCTCTGCTAATGTCAAGAAGTGCCACTTCCTAGCAGCAGGAGCAACTTTATTGAAACCATCTGTTGTTTTGGAAGACACATGTGCATGCACACACATACTTCCTTCTCCCAAAGTTTTTAACCTTCCTCTTAAGGCTGACTGAGATCGCAGAGCTAATCCCTCCTTATCTCTGAATAACAAGCTCTACCCTTTTCAGGAGTCCCAGCAGCTACTGGAAATGTGGTGTGGATGACCAGCATTGTTTAGATGATGTGAGAGTGATGTATTCTGGAGCAGCCACTTCAGAGGAAAATACCCATTCATTCATCATCGACATAAAGTTTCCCAAGAGCAGTCTGTCATTACTAGGAGCCTAACACAGAAGGCTTGGGTATCTGCGTAGAGATGGGAAATCGGTACTCCACTGGATCTGCTCTACACAGGGGACAAAAAGAAGAGGTCCAGCAGGTATAACCCAACAGCAGCCTTAAAGGGAATGACGCTGCTTGGGTTACAGCAGACTCCATGTATGAGCTCTATTCAGATTTGTCAAGTCTCTAATCATATTTTTATGATCATCCCTCCTTAACATGCCACGACTTTTAAGATTCTCTTGGCTGTTACAGAGGGGTGCATCAGAGCCTGGCTGCCACCAAAAAATGTGGCCCCACTGGAGCATTCAGAGACTGAATTAACTGTAGATAACATATTTATGTCAGTATTTCATGCACATCTGTGCATGTTTAATTTCTTATTCCTGAAAGCCGTCTAAAAGCACCACTTGAAAAATAAACAGCAGCTTCTTGCAGCTTTGGACCAAACACTGTGTATCATACCTGGAGTCTCCAAAATCCCTCTCACTGGCAAATATGATCCATATTCTGCAGGGTTCTGGGCCACTCTCTAAACCAAACCACACACAAAGGTGGAATGTGCCCCATCCAGAGCAGGAGGAGGCATGTTCCTGAGCTTGTCTCAGAACTGTGCTGCAACAAGTAGTTTAAACTCATCTCCAAACCCTTCTAGCTACCTCCTCTTTACATCCAGTGGGCCCAGACAAAACCAAACCTTGTAATGCTGGATGAAGCCACAACAGAGAAGAGCAGTAACTTCTTACTGCCCCTTCTCTTCTGCATCCACTTTTGCTTCTACCTACATGTGTGTATTACTAGAACTTTGCAGCTTGCATGTAAAAAACCCAGACAGACCTCCAGGTCACCAATGGCCTGGTCAGCTCTTACAGTTAAGAGCTAGGACTTCAATGCAGTAATGTAGGTGTAAACTGATCCATCCACTAGTCAGAATGGGATTCAACCAGGGGAAAGGTGTAGCCACTTCCCAAAGAGTACAGATGGCTAAGGAAAGGGGAGAGAAAAAAAATAAAGCACTTCTGCTGGAACAAGTCATGAAGGTTAAGAGCAAACTCATTTTCCTTCTTAACTGGGGGAGCTGGCATAGCTGCAACCATTATTTGTTTCTTTTTAGGGATAGTACAGTAAACTTCAACCACTCAATACCATCCAGTGAGCCATTCTGAAGTTATTGCTTAGAGCTGCTGAGTTTCTTAGCTCTTTCTCCCTTCAGTAACTTTTGTGTGTGTGTTTTAAAGAAGTTGAATACAGAAGAGACAATCCCTGGAGCTGCAACAGGAAGGAAAGTATCTCTCCCCTTCAGTCTTTCAGCCTGAAGAACTCTGAAAGGTTAATACACTGCAGTTATTTTCATAACACAAAAGGCCCATTGCTTAAAAAAAGTGTCTTAGCAGACGTCTGATTCTTAAGGGGCATTTTTGAGTCAATGCTGTCTGACAAGATGGGGCAGTGTGGGATTATAGACCTGTTCACTAAATGCAGAAAGGTAACAATCATAAACAAATTTAACATCCTTGAAAGGGTAATGGATAGTGTGAATATTTTTAGAAGTGTCCCTGTATTTGCTTTCCTGTATAGAGGAAAGCCCAGTGGATCAGCTTTCATAAGGAAGTAAGTTTAATACCTGGTACTAGGTTTTTAAAGTAGTGGGTTGAGATACAGGTCTCATTACCTGCCCTTATTTGCTTGACTCACCCAAACTCAGCTGCATCATTTATGTTCTATGGCTTGATTTGGAATGTTGCACTGTTCAGGACAACTTCAGTTTACATATTTCTGGGTACTGGCAATTTTTGTTTTCTGATTGTGGCTTTAGATCCTTATCTCATTGTGGTCAGTAGCTTTATTGTTGAATGGAGAGACACTGAGCTGAGGTCCTCAGAGAATCCTGGTCTGTTATTGACTGTAAAAGTGTATTTAATTGTTGTGTGTTAAAAAGAATGAAAGGTTATTTCCTCTAAAATCCCTGTGCAGCAGAGTAAATCAGATAATTGGAAGTCAGACAATGGGTGGATTCCTAGACGTTATTTGCAAATACTGTGTTTGAATATACAGAAAGGAAGATGACTCATTCTGGATTCCAGAGGAGCAAGATGGACAACAGGGTTTTCTCCCATTTGAACCCCGCCCTCCTTCAGATAAGGTCGTTCAGGTATATACTTATGTATATACACACCAAGGACATACTAGCAGCAGTAAAGCTGCAATGATGCCAGCTGCAGTACACACCAGACACCCAATTTAGGCTCTAAAGGCTTCAGTGATTAACCTGCTCTTGGGTCTCTGAGCCAGTCAAGTTGCAGCCAGCCGAACTCTCCCTGCACATGCTGCCATTGCACCCCTGAAGCAGAGGAACCCTTCCAAACTGAATGGCTCCTCCAAGAGTCTGCTTTGATGATATATGGAAAACAATTGCCGGTTTAAAAGGCCATTTTGCAACCTGCCTTTTTGAAAATCCTGACACACCTTTAAAGCCTGGAACTGTGGTCCTCATAGAGGAGGCCTTGAACTCTCTCTAGGTAGTCCACTTTCATATCCTCTTGGATGGAACACTTTCATATCCTCTAAGCTCATGTATTTCATGGTAATAAGCTGTGGGATTTAACTGTGCTGAGACAACATGCCTGCTCTTTAACCTAGAAGAATAAAGAAGAGCTTTCCAAGCAAAAATAGTTAAGATAAAATGGTTCATGTGATACTTGGAGCTAGCAGGGCATTCACTTTTTTTGCTGTTGGGTGGAAAGGGGAAGGGATTCCAAGAAAGCAAGCCTACAAACATGACTGCGGGAATGGCTGGGTCAGCTATGGCCCACACACCCATCAGCTCCTTGGGAAGTCTTCAGGCCTCAGCAGCTCATCAATCCCTCCCAAGACCTGGCTTGGGAAGGGCTCGTCCACCTGCTGGGAAGTGACCCATGACTCCTGCTGCCCTAAACAAACTTGAAGGCAAAGCTCATCAGCAAAACAAGGAGCATGGGAATTGAAGGGCAGGGAGAATGAGTGAGGACTTTCATTCTCACATTGATCGTGCTTGCTCGTCATAGGCATGGAGTGCACTCAGAACTCAGTTCTTTTACTAATCATAGCAATAGTATAAATGCTAAAAGGGAAAGTAATTTTAAAGCCACTTCTTGCAGAGATTGTTCTCATTTCTAGCATGCACTGTGCAGGCATGATCTCGGGGCACTCCCTCACCATTCTTTTTACATTTTAAATGAAGAAAAATTTAATTTTTCTTCTATTTGCCAAAGAAAATAGCAAGTGCACTTTGGGGAACTGGTAAGACAATGAAGTACCATTTTTAGCAGCTAGCATATCCGCTCCTTTCAGCTAAAAGATTCAAATCTTTATAAATAAGGATTTTATAAATTCAGATCTGAATAAAGATTCATCTTATCATTGAAAGAATTTAAACTCACTTCTATCATAGTCAATATAAATGTCCCCTTCAGGCAAAGGGAATGCTGGGAGAAAATTCACTGTGAGCCAGTCACTCCTCCACAGAGCGGTGGAGATGAAACTTGGGGATGTAAGTGTCAAGAGTTGGGAAAGCAGAAGTATGTATTTGTTGAGGTCGGCTCCTTTCTGCTAATGATAGTAGCTTCCTGAATTTATACAGACTATTGAGCCTGGCATTACAGCTTTCCTGTCAGGAGTAATGAACCAAAACATACACACATTGAACAATACACATAATTTAGACATGTGTGTAATACACTATGCATTATACATATTTTAACTCAAATATGTAGGCCTGGCATTCAGCTCAGATGTAGACCTGCAATTAGATGCAACACACATGCTTTAGTAGGGCATCTGTTTCTTTTAATATATTAAAACCCTTACCTTGCAGACAGAGGCCAGGCTTAGCTCCCTCTCTCATTGTTCTCTATCTAAAGCTGAAATGTGGGATTAGTTCCACTCTCCGAATTCAATGCATAGCTAAGCTTACCTGATGTGACTTGAGGACAGCTACTCAGCAGGGAGGTTTGAAACCTAATAGTGGAACAGGAACAGAGAAACTAGAGAAACTCCCCAGCGACTACAGTGCACTAGTGTGTGAAAGCTGGAGCTGTCATTTCAGCCACATGTCAGTGTGGGAGCTGTGGACTGGCTCTTGGCAAATGCACACGACAGGGAACAAACTGCAGTTCCAGAAGAAGAGGCTTGAATGGTATCAATAAGGGAAGGGTGAGAAGCTCAGTGCCAGCATTTTTGAAAATTAGATTGACTGGAAAGTTTGCACAGCAAAGTTTGGGATGTAACACAGCAGTCTCTAAAAATCCATTTTGTTTTCCAAGAGCATTCTGGTTTTGTTTCCTAAATGTTATGGCATAAAGAGAAAAAGAAAAGCAGCAGCAATGGCAAAAAGGAGATAGTCCAACCCAACTGCCAGAGGAAGTTGTGACTGTCACACCACAGTGCTCCACAAATAGCCGTGGCCATGTACCAGCTTCTGTCACCCCATCCTCTGGCAGACCTCACCTGGCACATCAGAGGGAGATTCAAAGTTGAATAAAGAGCATGGAAAAAGAACACACATAAGTGTGGAAATCAGAGATGCCTTGCAGAAATAGGGAATTTGTTTCCTTATAACCATGATCTCACCCCAACCTCTCCTTCACCAAATATGTCCATAGAGCTCTTCACACACATCAACATTTCTGTATTAAATCTGTCAACATGACAACCCAAACATCTCCCCTTCAGTGATATGCTCTTGCCAACAGGTCTTGGCTGCTCTGTGTGCCAGTGATGACTCAGATATGAGGTGCTAGTGTGGATCCACACACAGTCAAGGGAGCTATGTCATTGACTGAGTGACTTCTTGGTCAGGAGCTCCCCGTCAAGTTGCCAGGCTGGTTTCAGTGAGCTGCCTCCTGTTGTCATCCCATCAGCTAGTGGTACTGCAAACCCTTTGTCTTACCTCTGTTGTCCTCCTTCCCTGAAATACGGTATGGCAAATTCACTTTCAATTTAAGCAAAACACCCTCAAACACTACTTTGCATGACCCCAAAACAGATGCAAAGAAAATGTACCCCCAAGCCTTAATTTGCTATGGTTCAACTACATCCTGTTGATTTTGAGGCTAAGTATTTCTGTGCTGCAGCTGTGCAATTCAGCATCACCTCAGAACCCTAGCTTACACCACTGGGGCATCCTTACTTGAAGACAAAGCTCAGAAGAACACCAGCACATAATGAATGCAGTCCAATTTCCAACCAACAATATTCATTTCAAGGCCAGGATCTTTCAAACCCCTTCTGCTGTTACACATTACCTGCCAAACCTTCCCACACTTGTGGACTGGAACAATACCAGAAGAGTTGGTTAGAGTTAGTAAATAACATGGGATGAAAACAAATTAGGAAATAAAAGGACCCTTGAGAAATTAGGAAGAAAACTCTACAGCCTTTCAACTTATTCATGATTTACTAGAAAGTTATAAAATTTGGCAGGCCTAAGAGCCAGCAAAAAATGCTTCTAAGGTCAAAATACCCCAATTTGAATAGCTAAGTTACAGACTGAAAGCCTGGGGAAGTGTTTAAAGTAAGCTAGAAAGGAAATCAACACTCCCCCCTTCCCTCCACCCCAAACCTTTGTTTAAAAAGGAAACAAAAACGCTAATCTTCTGTGGTTAAGCACAAAGGCTTAAAGAGTGGCTGACAAACAACATGCATTATTCAAAGACAAGGTTACTGCTATTCTACACGCATCACTCTAGAATGGAAGCACAAAGCCACACAAGCACAATTTCTGTGAGTGTTACATTGGTAAATAGCTTCAAATAACCACCATTAATTGCATCAACATAATGTAGCCTTTCTGGATCTTTAAGGATCCATAATAGACTGTCTAAAACCATAGAGCCTGATCCCAACCTAAACTAAGCAGGTTTTATATATTACGTGACCGCAGTGGGGCAAGTATTACATTATGTTGAAGAGGGCTGCTCAGTATACAGTATGCTAGAGATTGGAAGGGACCTCAAAAGATCATCTAGTCCAATCCCCCTGCCGGAGCAGGAACACCTAGATAATGTTACACAGGAATGTGTCCAGGCGGGCTTTGAATGTCTCCAGGGAAGGAGCCTCCACAACCTCCCTGGGCAGCCTGTTCCAGTGTTCCGTCACCCTCACTGAGAAGAAGTTTCTTCTCAAGTTTACTTGGAACGTCTTGTGATCCAGTTTGTACCCATTACCCCTTGTCCTGTCATTGTTTGCCACTGAGTAGAGCCTGGCTCCATCCTCGTGACACTCCCCCTTTATATATTTATATACACTAATAAGGTCACCCCTCAGTCTCCTCTTCTCTAAACTGTAGAGACCCAGCTCCCTCAGTCTTTCCTCATAAGGGAGATGCTCCACTCCCTTTATCATCTTAGTTGCCCTGCGCTGGACTCTCTCCAGCAGGTCCCTGTCCTGCTCAGAAGCAGCCTCATTCTTCAATCTGATATTGGGCAAGCATCCAGGAGGGTTGAAGATCAATAATTACATGAAGCATTTAGAGTTTCCATGTTCATAATTATCCCCAGCTTCCCTAAATCCAGAAAAACCCTCATTTCCTTGCGGCCTAAGTCTGCATGGGTCTATATATGTGCAAACCCCTTGTCTTAGAAACGGGCTTTACGCACGCATATATGTATGTGCATTAAACCCATTTCTTTAGCAAGAAAAGGGAAGGAGGAACAAGCAGGCCTGTTTTAGAACTAAATGACCCAGATCTCAGACCACAGAAAGGAACCTGTGCATTAAACTAACTGTGTCTGCTTGGGAGGAAGCATTAGCAGCCTCCACAAGCCTACCCTTGACTCAGCTTCCAACTAGGGTAGCTTGGGATCTTGTTAAGAAGCATTGGGATGCCTTTGGCTCCACTGTATCTTACTTTGCCGCTCACCTGCAGGTCTCATCTTGCTGTCCTATAAACCCTTCGGCTTGCTTGGCAGTTTGCTGTCCTGCAAAGGTCATGGAGGGCAAATCTGTTGGCCTGACTGGGGCAATCAGACTAAGGGACTTATTAGTAAGCTTTTCTAAGGTGGCAGCACATGGCCCAGCATCTCTGAAGGACAAGGTAGAGAGCAGAGCAGCAGGCACCCCAACACATGTAAGACAGTCCTAGGACTTACCTTTGCAATCCCCAGAGTACTGCAATACTTACAGCCCTACTAAGGATTCCTGTAGGCCAGAAAGCCCCTTTATTGCCACTGATACCTACACAGCTGTGATAATGACCTAGAGGGAGACAACCTGGTGCTGGTCTCGCAAGGAAAATCACCTGATGTTGCAGCACCTCAGGTTGATGAAGAAACCAATGTAGCAGCAAACGGCAGTGCTGTTAATGGCACAGCTGTATGCAGTGATTTGTTTTCTGTCAGTGGGTTTGGGAAGGGATGGGAAGTAGGAGAACAGTCACAGAGAAGCTCAGTTACAAAAATTCAAAGGCAAAGCTCCCAATTAAACACGTAGCAGTCAAGCTAAAATTATAGGTGACAATTACTGTAACTTGATTAGGCACAATAACAAATTCACTTCTCTAAATCACTTTCACAACTCTCCTAGGAGGTCTGAAAGATGTAGTATATGAGGTTCATTTAATTTCTAATGTAGTAATTATCACTACTGAGTAAAAAAAAAAAAAGAAAAAAATAGCAGTGACAGACCCAGGAAATAAAATTAGCACTTGAGGTTTTAATAAAATTTTTATGTGCAACCCCGTTGGTTAGAAATTGTTTAATCAATCTTATCTGGTTCACAGACTTTGTGCTGAGTTTTTGCTTCATGTTATTACAAGGCAATATGCTGCAGCACCTTCTTAGCATCCCAAGCTGCAAAGCCTAAAGACTATTGCTATCCAAAGCTGGTGCAAGCTCCTCTTTCAGTTGTGAACACCCAGTTTTGTTCACGTGCTGATGGCTGTTTTCAGGTTATACAGCTGGACATAAGTACTGGTAACTCAGGAGAAGGGTCCAGCCTGCTCTGCCTGGCTGCCCCAGTAGAATCTCTGCTCTAGGTGGTAGCTTGTTTCTGTGGTAGCAGAGGTATCTAGTGAGATTGGTCAGGTTTTCAAGCTATTCATATGTAGGAGACACTGTTGGTCCTTTCTGAAGGGGCTTCATGTTCCAGGCTTCAGAGTAACACTGAAGAGATATCCATCTCAGCCTCTCCTGGTTCTCCAGGATGACCAGGCTGTGATAGGGACACCAGGAGCCCAGACCAGTGGTTTGCTCAGGGACAGTGGAGGGACATAAAGAAACTTAAGTTGGCATTTCTGCGATTTTCCTGTGTCCTCAAGCTCCTGGGCACAATGGAGAGAAAGCTGAACCCAGATTTCCTGTCCTGCATCTTGCAGGGTCACTGCCTGTATAAATTAAGCTGAAGTGGTTTGTTTCTGTTTGCAGACCAGGTCAGTGTCAGTAGGAGAGAGGTGAAAATGTGGTTATTCGTATCTAAAGGAAAAAAAGCACATTAACAGGATTCCTTGATTGTTTCAGTAGTTCTCCTATTTCATCTAAGAAGTCCATCTCCAGTGCTGAGCAAAATTACTCTCACTGTCAGGCTGCTTAAAATGCTCACTGCTTTAAAGTGTGCCAGTGTGAATTCCTTACTGCCATTTTAATTGGGTTTGGTACCATTCAGAAATCCATTGAAGGAGCATGGCCAGCACAGACAGAACTATAAGCAGCACTTGGCCTGCCTTGCTCTGCTTTTGTCCATCAGAAACCTTCCCCTGCCAATGGATGTAGCTCCACTCTCTCTCTTTGCTGGCACTGTCTGGCCAATCACACAAAACAATACATCATCCAAGCTGGGTTTTTCCTTCTTCTGTTTGCAGTTTGTACACCAATAATTCCTGAGTAGCCCAGTGGCTAACAGGTAACTTGGCAACCTTCTGATCAATAACAAAATCAATAAATATTTGGGCATCATCATAAACAGAGCCCATTATTGCAGCCTTTCAGTACTTAAAAAGAGCCTATCAGAGAGACATGGAAGACTTTTTAGCAGGGACCGTTGCAATAGGACGAGGGGTGATGATTTTGAACTAAAAGAGGGTGGTAAAACCACTGGAACAGGTTGTCCAGAGCGGTGATGGATGCCCCATCCCTGGTGATATTCAAGGCCAGGCTGGATGTCCCTGCTTATTGCAGGGGGCATGGATAAGATGACCTTTGAAGGTCCTTTCCAACTCAAATTATTCTATGATTCTATGATTTGATGATTAAAGCACTACAACATGGTAATTTGAAATGAGAAAGTAACCTGCTGCCCAGACAGTTAATGTAACTTTCTTAAATTGATTTATTCCAAGAAAAAAAAAAAAAGTGGTGTAAGCAATATTTTGCCCAGCTGCATGTTAGATTGGATGTAAGGAAGAAGATCTTTACTGTAAGGGTGGTGAGGCACTGGAATGGGTTGCCCAGGGAAGTTGTGAATGCTCCATCCCTGGCGGTGTTCAAGGCCAGGTTGGATAGGGCCTTGGGTGACATGGTTTAGTGTGAGGTGTCCCTGCCCATGGCAGGGGGGTTGGAACTTGATGATTTTGTTTTATGAACCATACACACATAGAATCATAGATCCCTGAAGGACACCACTCGTTACTGGTCTCCAGCCGCACACTGAGCCATTGACCACAGCTCTTTGCGTGCGGCCATCCAGCCAGTTCTTTATCCACCGAGTGGTCCATCCATCAAATTGATGTCTCTCCAATTTAGAGACAAGGATGTCGTGTGGGACAGTGTCGAACACACTGCACAAGTCCAGGTAGATGACATCAACTGCTCTACCCCTGTCCATCAGTTCTGTAGCCCCATCATAGAAGGCCACCAAATTGGTCAGGCAGGATTTCCCCTTAGTGAAGCCATGCTGGCTGTCACCAAGCACCTTGTTGTTTTTCATGTGCCTTAGCATGCCTTCCAGGAGAATCTGCTCCAAGATTTTGCCAGGCACAGAGGTGAGACTGACTGCTCTGTAATTTCCCATGTCATCCATTTTCCCCTTCTTGAAAATGGGGGCTATATTTCCCTTTTTCTAGTCATTGGGAACATGTCCTGAAAGTCTTCTGAGATGCAGCCAGCCACATGGAGCCAGCTTTGCCTGACCTGTGAGGATTGCTTTGCAGTCAGTTCCTCCTATAGGACGCACACCCTGCACCACATCTCCCAACTGGCCTGTAGTGACAGAGGGGATTTCTGCCTGGGGAGCACTGCACAGGGCCCCATGTTCTACACCTGCAAAGGAGGTTCACAGGTGAATGTATCTCCAAAATCTCACTTCTTGACACGGCCCGTGGCCTTTTGGTCTCTGCCATGGTTTTATGCTAACTCCACTGGCGACTTTACAATGGGGCAGTGGCTGGACTCACAGTAGGCAGGAGGCTCTGTGATGGTGCAGCCAGCACTGTCCAACATCTCCCAGCACCTCTTAGGACCAAGGGTCAAAGATGCAGGATGCCATGAGTCATCCGTGATCGACTGTCAGCTCCTCAGGAAACAGATGGTAACTGTAACCAGGCACCCAAAAATCCCCATGACCTTCACAGATCCTACACTTTGCTTTCACCTGTCAATGCAGCACCAAAGCCATCAAAGCCGTGACAAAATGATTAATTAAAGCCCAACTGGAGATAGGAGTTTTTGTCTTGATTTTTTAAGTTGGAGTCTGTGTGTCATTTTGACACACTAAACAACTGCAGTATATAGATCCTCGCTGCAATTATTTCTGACAGCCCATATGGATGCTGATTGAGCCCCAGCGAAGGAGAGAACACAGGAAAGCTGTCCCCGAAATATCCGGGTGCAGAGAAACACTTCGCTCGGAGCTGGCAGCGCTGCTGGGATCCGAAGGCCACTGCTGCCATCTGGTGTCACTGTCACCCGGTGGAGGGGAGTTGGGACGCTGCAGGCTGAAATTGCGTTCACTCCTGTTGGATAAATGAGGGGTGACTTAGTCCCAAATATTGAGGAAGGACAAAGTCTTCCCTGGCAAAGGACAGCGCTGCACATCCAAGCTGCTTCGCATCCACCTCAGTCTAAAAGGAACCAGCTTGTGTTCTTGAAGATAAGAGAAGGAGACACAAGAAAGGAGAAGAGATTGCTTAAAAGGCTTTTTTTGTGGAGAGGAGACACAGCCTAGCAGTGTGAGTTATAGATCAGCAGCTCTGGTCATCCTGTTCCAACAGAGCCATGGGGAGATGCTTGTGTTGAGGGAGGGTTGCAAAGCTACAGAGCAGAAGGGGAAGTTCGGGTCTTGGGAGCTCACACTGAAGCTGTTTGGAGAGGAGGAGGCAGTGGCTCAGTCATGACTGGGTCTTCCAAGCCTTGGTCTTAAGTAGCTTTATGTATGAAGGCAACATTCCCTTATGTTAAAATGCATTCTCATTGAGGAAGGGGAACCATTTAGGAGGGAGGACAGTTCTTCCACAGCCATTTGTTGTTCAGCTTTTTTCTGATCTATCGTTTGTCTCTCCACACAGGTTTGCCAACCCCCAGGTGCCCTACAAGCCTTAGCTCTCTAACCACAGCATCTCTTTCTCTAAATGACAGCATTCATGCAAACAACCCCTGCACTTTTTACAGCCCCAGAGGCCAGCCCTGCTCCCTCCTCCATCATGAAATACAGGCAGCAGTGAGGAAATAATGATTTGATCAGCTCTCAGGATATCAAGCCTCAGTTTAAAAAGCAGACAATTTCCAGTGTCACACCACTACATTTTCAAAGCTAATTTAACTATTCCATTTAAAAAAAATGAAAACATATTCAAATTAAAATACCCAAAAGATATGAAAGGGGGGAAAAAAGCCTCGTTGGAGAGAAGACATGAAATGCATCCGTAATTTCCCATCAGGCTACAGTTCCCCTAACCGACCATGACAGTCAAAGATGAAATAGAAATTTCTCTATCAAACAGGAACACAAAGGAGGGCTGACCTTTGATCAAATGTGTTTGTAGTTTTGACAAGGAAATTTGCATTAAAATAATTTATGCTGGACACTTACAGGAGAAGTTAACTCCCAGCATGTAAAGGAAGAGAGAGGTCAAACCATCCTTAAACAGTCTGTCAGATGAAAGCCACGCTCTCCTCGATGCAGAGCTATGTGAAGTTTCAAGTCCAGGCTCTCTTTCTGAAATCACAATTGCTGTGGGTTTTGTGATGCAGTTTTTCAAAGTGGTGTTTATACATGGGTGAGAAAAACCTGTTTCAGGCAAACAAAGGCTTTCTCACACAAAGAAAACCCTCTTCTAGCATAGCAGCAGAAGGCATTTAAAAAATCAAATAGCACCACCAAATCATTATAATATTGAAGCTACAGGCCTGGCTGATCCTCCTTGTTTTCCAGCAGGAGAATAAAGAAAAGAAAGCAGGATGGGAAGGGGGGTCTGGGTCTCTTTGACCCAGAGCGCTGGTGTGCAAGGGAGCTGCAGAGGGGCAAGTGCTGCCCTGGGGCTGATGGCAAGAGGCACCACTTGTCTTCTGGCTCTTCCTGAAAGCAAATGTATACTCTGCCTGTGAGGTGGCAATGTCTGAAACATTCAGCCAAGAGATAGCCATTGAATGAGGTGTTTTGAGGTGGTTACATAAGTAAGGGGAATTTGTGGAAATCCATAAGAACAGGGAGATTTGAGGTTTATCTTCTCAGGAAAATAACTGCTGTTTATTTAAACTTTTACTACAACTGCAAAATAACAGTCATTATCATACAGGTTTTTACAAAAGGCCCCACACTGTGAGCTAAGAGATATGACAGATTCCGTCAGCAGATGATGCCCTCCCCAGTACATGTGATAACCTCCTGTGTTGTCTCCTTTCTTCCTTGCACTAATTTCTTTAATATTTCCAAGGCTGCCCAGTTTTCTCACCTACATGGTTTTACAGCCCTCAGTTTCCCAGTAAGGACTGCAGGATAGGAATGGATTTTGGATGCTTCCAGGTCTCCCTTGCCCAGGGTCCTATATTGTGGTTTATCATTGCAGTAATAACCACTTGCATTCCATGGTCTTTTCGCAATCCCAGTCACGTTTAGTCTGTTAATTAAAGACATCACTGAAGATCTCCTTCATTTCCCAAAAAAGGCTGTCTCTGCCTCTTTTTCTTCTGCCTATCAACTGGAAACTTCCCTATCGCTCCTTGTCCACCCAGAATGCTACTCCTCGTCCGAGTTCAAGGCTGCACAATGCCTGGTGCATCCTGGGTCTGGCCAGGAGAGG